CACCCCAGTAGGTCATTACTCTGCATGACTGCTTGGCCACGGGAGTTAATAAAACGAAGCAGTTTTAGTAAAACAACGCAAGTTTTAGATCAGCCAATCACAGAACGGTGGGGAAGCTTACTTTTACGTCGAGTGCAATTTCAGTTTAGGTTAAACTTTGGATGATTTTAGGAACTAAAACAACGGGCAAAATATATGAAAAGCACAATACATTATTCGAAATAACTGGACTCCTTACGACTTTTGAGCATCTCCAAGAATACTTATTTCCCATTGGCTGCCGACTAAATATATTGACACGTCGTTGGAGCGGGGTGCACAGTCAATCGATACATCGACCAATCAAATCCCAGAACACGAATCAAGTAGCCAATCAAATCATCGACTCACATTCGACCAAGGCAACATCTAATTAGTGTGTGACTGAAATTAGTGTGACACTGGACGGCCTCTCAAAAGTACTAACATAGCAAAGTACTACATAGTAGAATCTATGCATCAGTGGTAATTAAGGTAACCGTAACGATCGGTCGCCTCCAAACCAATAGTTCTGACGAGTGGAGTTTTACCATTCACAGTCAGTTCAAAGTCATTGAAATACTTGGACAGCGTTTGACAGGCTAAATCCTTCAAACTTTACTTGAAATTGCCACCTAACATATCTGAAGGTGATACCCTACACGATGCATCGCCAATGTGTCCTAAGATTTCGAGTAATTGCAAAAGTGCAGACCGGGGTTTCGGAGTTTCGGGGTAGGAAGAAACTAGGAAGAAACTAGTGGTAAATTACTCAATTACTCGATAAATGACAAGATGCTGCTATATTTTGGAAATCTGGCGGTCTTTTGGAAATGATTGGATATTTAATTTGTTCAGCGGCTATTTTGATGGCCATCCGTCACTGACAAGAATATGACTGATTTCGTTTGATTCCTAGTTTTATCCTGACTTAATCTCACGATACATCATGCAAACTGGTTTTACAGCCTAGTATTGATCTAAAACGTCCCTGAGTAAGTGGGTGGGACTAATTGATTGCTACGATATTAATAAGTACAGTACAATCCTTGTATTGTACCACTCCGTGTCTTTTTATAGTGTACTAGTAGTACCAATTACATCGATGTATTTGATGTATTTGGACGAAACGCCTAATTATGCTTTGATTGGCTGAATATATTTGTTTCGTCGCTCTCATTGGCCAAACCAAGTGTTAAACCACATCTATATGTAGATATCTTTCGTCGTCCACGACATTTTAACCCGACAACTTTATGATTGGTCAAAAATGTATTCCCAGAATGCCGAGCTGTGAGACTTCTCCAACCACCTCATTTCACAAAGGACCAAGATCCCAACACTTCATTACAATCGTCCCTCACGCCTTCGCTTGCGGACTTCAGACAAGGTATTGCTGTACGAGCTCGTGTGACCTACATATGCAGCATCAAACATCTCATAACTAACATACTTTCAAAAGACAATCGACAAGGTCAAGCGCTCAAAATACTTCCGCCGGTCGGCCCGTATCCTTTCTTTGTTGAACGATCGCAAGGGTTGATACAACCCGACCGCCGGGTCTCCGGTAAACCATTGTGTCCATGCTTCGTTCGCCGACCGTGACGTAGGTACAACAGCGTGCGAAACGAAGCTGTCCGTGTCATTTGACATTGCGACTTGGCACCCACTGGCGGTGGCAGTGTGCGGGCGATATCGGCGGCGACGACAGCGGCAGATACAACATGCACGTTGTTTTGGAGGGACTTTACAATTGTGTTGCAGACGTCTTGTAGGTTCATTTTGCCGACGGTTGAGTTGCTGGTGTTTGTGTTGATGCGTAGTAGATTTGTCGGATCGATTTCGTTTGTAATGCTGCGTGTAATAAGATATTCACAGCATGCATTTGCATCTTCCCATCGACACCATGCCATGAGCTCACTGAAATTGAACCGACGCTCTGGAGACTCGAACACTCGGTAAAAACTTCCTCCATGATGCATGCTGTGCAACGTAATTCCTAAAAAATATTATATCCTAGTACCAGTTGAAAAAATAAATATGCGAGCAAAAAATACCTGAAGGAAGTTCGGAGCACTTTTCAACTGCACTTTTAATGAACAGATGAACTTCATTTTGATCAATACGTTTGTACCAGTTGAGTCTTGGGGTCCCAGACGATTTGAGTGTGTAGGCAGGAAAAACAAACGAACAAGGAGGCTAAATTCGGACTGGCCCGATTGACGAGGCCCACGTAATCTGAAAACAACCCACACACACGCAAGCACGTAAACGACTTCTTGTCAACGAGATGGTAGATTTGGCAGTCTCTTTGCACACTGGCCTTTTTGTGCCAACGAAGTCGGAGCGATACATACTGGCTGTCGCCATCGTGTTGGAGGGCGACGTCGTCCCACATCAGGTTTAGGATTTCGCTGATGCGAAAATAGCCAATGTAGTTCGCGCGGAGAAGGAACCGGTACAGTGCCCCGACAAACATATGGGATGAGGCCAGTGAGTTTACGAGCAACGACAGCTCGTACACCGACAGTGGATGGGCCTTTTTTTCGTCGTCGATGTTGTTTTGTTTGTTTTTTTACGAACTAACAACGTATTGCTTGGATTCAACGTCCCCGGCAGGGTTTGGGTCGACTTGAGTGCTTGGAAATAGATGACTAGCGCGGTCTAGGCGGAGTCGACGGTTCGGGTAGTAAATAGATGGGACTTGAATACTTCATCACTTAGCAGCCATGAGTAGTTTATCGGGGAAATGCTATTAATGTCACTAGGCTTAGTCGCAGTGATATACACAAACGACGAAAGTATATTTCGACAACTACAAATGTTCCTGATACTTCGAAGTAATTCGGAGCATCAATCTACACAAGCAACGACTTTTGTATTCAATTTTCAGTGAGCTACGCGTAGACTTCAGTTGGTTGTCGGGGTTCCAGTAATATCGTTTCGAAGAATACCGGTATATATATATATTTGATGGGCATAGCTGCTCGTTCAGGAAATCACTGCAATAGATAAATTTGTCATATTCACATGCACAATCAAATTGCAAACAATGAATATGCGGGTTCGACACTTGATCATTCGCAACGTGCAACAATGCTCATAATGACGCCGTTGAACCAACATATCAAAATGACAAATTAATAAGGCAACGAACGATACAAGGACAATACATTGTGTCAAAGGCTTTAGTTTCGTTGCGTTGCGTGTCAATAAATGAGATCTATCCATTTGATGTAATTCACATTTTCATGGCTGTGAAACTGACACTACTTAACGTACCATCAGGGATGCCCGGTCGTGGAATGGTCGCGGAATATTTCTGTCCATACAAGGGGCTGGTCGCGGAATATAGCTATGTTGATGAGATGAATGCAGGTACCAAGTACAGGCGAGTGGCTACATGCTTATTGGGGCTACGCTGTGCCCTTATGTAAGGTTCAGCTGATGAGATGTGACTACACTAGCTGTAGCTACGCAGCTAGCTACTAGTACAGTACAAGACTGCAGCTGCAATACAGTACTATTAATACTGTATCTAACCAGCCACAAAAACTTACTACTGTAGTACTACATACTATTAATATTAATAGTACTTCGACGTAGTTAGCATTTATTTACCTGCTCAATAATGGCTGGGATATATATTTATCGTAGCAATCAATTAGTCCCACACACTTACTCAGGGACGTTTATAGTAAATAACGTTAGTACCAAATTCGCAGAGTGAGTGGGCATTTGACCAATTGAGTGGGTGTGTCACCCCCTCACTCGAGGAATTGGTCAACATGTTGTTTTCAGTTGGAAGGGCAGTAGGCAGGAACAGGCACTTGGCAGGCAGAAGGAATAACTGGAAGTGAATTACTTCTGACTGGAAAGAACCAGCCAATCAAAACTAACTATGATTGATCATGACATCCAAGGATGTTTCGTGACCAAATGTCTGCGCTGACTTCTACTCTGAGGAAAAGCCTCTAGAAGGCACAAAAACCTCCTACACAGCTAACAGACGCTGCTACCTGACTGACAGGGCAGTGGGGATGTTCTCTATCAGTACAGGGTGTTCTGACTGCCTCCCAACAGCGCCACGCACTGTCAACCGGAATCAGGTGCCCAGAGTGCAGATAGAGGCTGGCGGTTA